TATAAAATAGGTTTAATGTGTATTTTTGGTATATAAAAATATTAGTATTAAATCTTATTCAAGTTGAAATTTGAAGTCTTAATAGTATTTATTAAACGCACTTCATAAAAAGGAGTATCTTTGATCAAAGATTTCGAGCTGAAAATTAATGTTTTATGTATTTTCTAAGTGGTTATATTTAGACTTAAAGATTTCATCTCGTTATACGGCGGCTGTTAAAAATATAAAATAAAATAATAAAAACGAGTAGCATATAAGAATCAACATATATTTTGTCTCGAAATTTTATTTTTTCTCTAAAATATAATAACTATTATATTACTAACAAGGATAACATTGTTCTTATACAATAATATGTGAATTTTTGATTAGCAATATGTAGATAATTTTTAGTCAAATTGACAAGAGTTTTTTTTCCTTAATATTTTGTTACATAATTCAGAAACATTTGACGTTCATTGTTTTAAACATATTATACTTATTATATATTCATGATAGATAATAATTATAATATAATATTAATCGTACGGAACCAAAGTTATCACAGTATAATGTTTTTTGCCCATTTCTCGCTCGGCGAAGGCGTGGCGTCACTCATAGGGCTACGTTGTAAAAAAATCAATAACTTTACCGATTGCGAAAGGTGTGTTCATTAGTTTAGTGCAGCAAAAGTTTTATTTAATATATATGTACATTAATATAGCTACATATATCTATATGTATATATAATATGTGGTATTTATATGTATAAACTAAATAATTTTATCGTAAGCAAATCCGATATTACTCGACGTTACTCTATGGAGTTTTTATTTGAAGAAATAAAACCTCTTTGGAAAGTTATTATTTAAAATATCGGCTATATATGGAAATTTATTCACTGTTTGTAATTTCAAAGTAGCTATAATTATATACATATATTTGTGTTATATGAAGACAAGATAACCTTAAGAGTGGCTAAGCAGATTTCGATATAACTTGTAGTGTAAGCGTAGTTCATAGAACGAAAATACTATTAAAATAATAACTTTCTTAAGATAATAATTATTTAATAATGTATGTTCGTTCATAAATAAGCATTAAATTTCTACCGTTTTCTACCGTTGATAAAAGTTAGCGTCAAGAAATTATTTTATTGTTTTAATACATTATTTTCATATTTTTACTAATTATGTCTAATATAACAATTTAATTTATATTTATATATATAATAAATTAAATAATCTAAAGTACGTATGATAAAAGCATGCGTCAAGCCGATACCATTCAATCTTCCACATACTCCCTACACTTGTAAAGTACCCTTCAATCTATAACAACGACAGAAATCATAAGAAATTAAGACCAAAATAACATGACCTACCCTATATAAAGATCGCGTGTAAAACTCAAGTAAAATATTAAACAAAATGATGGGACGAGGGTCAAACTAAATGGTCGACATCCGTGTTAAAAGTTCATAATGACTATTATATTCAAACAAAGATCGAACCCTCTTTCACACCTCTCCTCTTTTTGATTCCTGCTGTTTTAAATATTATATAAATAACAGAGGCATATTAAATAATAATTAACATAAATTATATGTATTAAATTTAATATTATTTAACTAATATGATTAAATTTATTCTAACTTCAATCTATACACTTAATTTGCTTACAAAAGTCACAATTTATCTATAGAATAATGTATGTTGTATCTAAAATATTTAATAATTAATTTAATTAAAGCCTCTGTGTATATATTAATCTATATCTGATTCATTATTCGAGTGTGGGATGCCCTAACAATTTGTAAACGGACCTGTTAGAAAAACTCTTTCAATGGAAGTTTTTTTTTTTTGGTAAATTAAATCGTCAGCAATTATGAATTAGGTCAATCCTGTTCATTATAGCTTTTAGTTCACATGGATTGAGATATGATATTGAGATTAAATAATTATTAATTTAAGATATATGTATTATACCAGCCTATCAGAGCCCACTGTTGAGCAAAGACCTCTTCTTACATGGAGAAGGTAAAACGTAAGGTTCATCAATTATCAAATACCTATATGATAATTGATTTACTTATTAGAGAAATATTAAATGCATGTTTATTTTATATATTAAAGACGAAAACTCTCATCATTCCATGTATTCACGGTGCGTGTGCCGGGTCCATCGTTGTAGTGAGAGGAGCTTCAACAGTGACTGTGACTTGCGACCCAGGTGTAGGTTTAAGGGTTACCTATACGTAATATATTTATTTATCATTATAACTACATTTATCTTGTTTCAAATTTTTCTTGAACTATCTTAACACTGTGATTTGTATGTAGTATAATTTATGTTACACATTTTTAGTAAGCTTAATTGTATTTTTGACATTAAATGATTAGGTGAAAATAATAAAGACATAAACATCCATACTGACATTATAAATGCGAAAGTAACTCTGTCTGTCTGTCTGTCTGTTACGCTTTCATGCCTAAACCACTGAACTGATTTTACTGAAATTTGGCACAGAGATGGAGTTGACCTTGAGAAAGAATATTAGAAAGAATAGTTTTTATCCCAGACTTTTGAAAAGGTTCTCTTGGAAACGCGATATTACCGAAATCCACGCGGGCGAAGCTGCGGGCGGAAAGCTAGTATAAAATAAAGAATGAAATCATGCATTGATATAAGAAGGATTGGAATCGTAATCTTTGGAAAAACGTTTTACAGTCACTGCTAAGTAAGACATTATAGTCAATCATTACAGAATTTTAGATATTCTCTTCTAGATACTGATATCTATGATTTTCACAGGATTTTTTTAAATAAAACTAATATTTTCTGTTGTACTATGAGTTTTTTTTATTATTTTATACATTCTCTTCTCGTCTGTACATGATCACGGTTGCCGAAAAGTAATCTAAACGTTGGGAGTATGTAGTCTAAATAATAAAATAACGCGTATTAATCCCAAAATATTTGTTTTATTCTCTTCCACATTTTTCATAAATATATAATGCTAATATAATGATATATATCTATGTTACTATAAAAAAATGATTTTGAGTTACATTAAAAGAGCTTCCACAAGTGATATAATTCTACAAATATACAAAATAACTTCAAAAAACTGAATGGGGTTAGATTATTTGACAAAATTTATGACGAATTAAAAATAAATATACAATATTCGAATACACTTAACTCAATTTATAGTATGCTTGGATGATGATTATTTTTATCAATCATATTAATTATATTTTGAATTCGTTATGTATGTACATATGTATCTTAAGATTTATACATAAATATACATGCATTTATGTTTATACAGCACCTATAAAACTTACTTGCACAGTAAAGTCATGTGTTGTAGTAAATTAATTTGGAATAGTCTTAAACCAAACACCTGCTTGTGGCGCAAAGGGAAAGAGTCGACGCACACGAGATATTCAAAGCCTAATAAATCTTTGGATAACTAAATTAAAAAAGGTCTTAATTAATGTTAATTGTTATACATATTATTTTAAACGAAATTTAAAAGTTATAAACGAAATTTTAAACTAAAAAAAAGAACATAAATGTAGCTTTTTTACGTGTTAAATTAAATAAAATTATTTAATTATACAGTAGAAAGTACCCATTTACAAAATAGGATTTCCACATTTATTACTTTATTACTTATTTACCTGATTTAATACTAGTACAAAGACTTAATTTTTATGTTCTGTGGTATGGATTCATATTTATGACATCATTAAAAATAGTATTTTACTAGATGCTGAACTTGGTGTGTAGATTAGTAAATAAAATAATTTTGGATTTAAAAAAGATAATAATTTACAAAGAGTAATAAAAACTATTTTACGTCTAAACCACTGAACTGATTTTAATAAAAATTGGTAAAGAGATAGAGTTGTCTTTGAGAAAGAACATAGAATAGTTTTTATCCCAGACTTTTGAAAGGTTCTCTTGGAAACGCGATATAACCGAACTCCACGCGGGCGAAGCTGCGGGCGGAAAGCTAGTAATAAATAAAGGAAATTTATTAAGGAGTTACCTATTTCTGTTGTAAGAAGAAATATAAAAACTTATGTATTTTAAATTTTTGTATATTCGTACATGATGATGATGTACGCTGTCTTACCTTTTGGAAGCTTCATGTCGGAGGAGAGGACTAGAGATCTTTCTCTTGGATTTGTCAGAGATAGAAAAACGTGGGTTTGTTTGATGAAGATCAATCAAAGACTCCACCTTGAGCTGACTTATAATGACGTACAATAATCTTAGGTTCTAATTAGTACATATTACGTTGGTAGAGTTTTGGACAAAAAATTGCATTAAATAATAAGAGAAGGAATCCTAGTCTTACGACTGAAGGGAGTGACATGACTTTAAGATTTATTTACTCGAAGTTTTAAATAAAATGAAACTGTAAAGTAGCCGAAACTTCGGGAGTATGTAGTTAATAATCAAAAATAAAAATCACGTAGTACATCCGAAAAATATTAGTTTAATTTTAAATGAATACTAGCGAAAATCTTAGATCTCATTAAGTTTTAAATAAATTAACATCTATAGTACATACATAGTTTATTATTTTCAATGATTTAAAAGGATTCTTTGTCTTCTTCAAGTTATAGTTTTCTTTAATGGCTATTTAGTTAGTAGACCAACATACTTTTAATGTGTATTGTTCAATTAAAGCAGTACTAATTAGTATTACATTTGTGAATATATCTTTATGATTTCAAAGTTAATTTTTTATTAGTAATCAATATGAAATCGTCCTAATAATTGATAGATATCGCATTTTTTGTAATAAAACCTCTATGCGACAAATATCTTCTGGAAATAAAAATCTTCTGTCAAAAACCAAACAAATTTTCAATACCACAATGTTATCTCCGGTAAATTAAAACCAAAATGTAAAAAAAATAATAGCCACAATCAAAAAATATATAACATTAAAATGTAGAATACAAAAAACAGAAAGTTACAAATTCAATTGATTTTCCAAGATGTTTAAAGATGACGATGGTATGTATTGTCTTTGAGGCAGTCAAATGTAAATACATGTATTTATTAGAATAAAAAACATTTGGCTTGTACTTCATTTGTTGTTTTTAATGTAACAAAGTAGTTCAATACTATAATCTATTTGTAAAAGCTGAAACTTTTCATCAATAACCAAAAAGTATAGATGAAACTATTATTTTTGGATTACTAGTCGTTTTTTATTATTTTAAACTACATACTTTCGATGTTTTTATTACTTTGAAACTGTGATCACGGACAGATGAGATGTAGTTTTTGAGAGTTATGAAATAAGCGTAGTAATCCGAAAATATTAGTTTAATTTAAATGAATACTTGCGATGCTTAGATCTCATTAACGTCGTATGGAATTTTTGAATAATATGACAACTTTTAAATGAAACTAATATTTTAAGGATATACTACGCAACTTTATTTGTGTAAAAAACTACATAGTCATACAGATCTCGTCTGTCCATGATCACGGTTGCTGAAAAGTAACCGAAACGTTGTTAGTATGTAGTTTTTTACACAAATAAAGTGGCGTAGTATATCCGAAGAATATTAGCTTCATTTAAATGAATAAAACTAACGAAAGTCTTAGATCTCATAACATGATAATGGTTTAAAGTAGATTGAATGAAATATCTACCAATGTATTATAGTTTACTTTTAAAATAACGAATAGTCGAAAGTACGCTCAATACAAACTCCTCGGGACTGCTTTCGTTACAAAAACCTTACCAAAGGCCTAATTTTCTTATTATTTCTTTAGACAAAGAAGAAGGTGCAGCCTTCGGAATTACCAGGTACCAGTGCATGCCATCGTTGGTTGCCTTGCAGCAGATGAGAAACCGTCTTCACCTGGCTTTTCTCGGCAAGAAGTTGATGAAATGGACAGCTTTAGCCACCGGCAGAGAGATGAGGCGCCTCGCCCAGGAGTTATACGAGTATATATATCATTATTTACATTGTATAAGGGAAAAAACGTGTGTGAATGAATTAAAATTGATTTATTTGAAGGCGAATCAAATAATTTATGTACTAGATTTGCCAGCGACTTTGCCCGCGTTAATTTCGGACTGAAATATATGTATAGCTGACCGGGAGAATTCTATTCCGTCCTAGATGCCGTAAATAACCTGATATTGGTATCTATTAAGTTTCGTTTTTAGATCGAACAGAATTAAATATCCTACGTCCGTCTCCTTGTTCTAAGCTATCTTTCCACCAATTAGAAACTATATCCTATACAGCCGTTAGAGTTATAAATAGTGTAACTAACACGACTTTGTTTTATATGTTTAGATATGTTTGCAATTGAATTAATAGCTATAATTGTATGTATATTATTGTATATGTTATATTATATTGTTTTGTCTAGCGTGTACGAGGGTTTTGGAGAGGAGTTGAGAAATGCCTTCATTCTACTCGCCAGATGTCGCTACTTCTCACCACCATTAAACAGCATAGTCTTAGAAGATATTGGACAAAAGGTAGTTGATATGATAATAACATATTTTAATTCCGTTTAAATGATTCGTTTATCCTAATATTTGAACAAGTTTTTAATAAAGAATACTTTAGAAATTGTATACATTTAATATATTTTTATGTACACAAGTTTTGTTGTGAAAATTCGTTGGAAAAGTATTTGTAAATGAAATATCTTAATAATAGTTATAAAATGCGTATTGTTGTCGAAATTATAATTTGAAACATATAAAATATTTTTTAATAAATCAAATTTAGGTAAATATTAAACACAATTAATAAAAACTACTATGAAATATGTCTTTATTTTCGCTTATCATAATAAAATATATAAAATTATAAACAAAAATATATCGCCCCCGGGTGGGCTCGAACCACCAACCTTTAGGTTAACAGCCGAACGCGCTAGCCGATTGCGCCACGGAGGCTATGAGCAATGCATCGAAATTGTATATATTATTATAAATAAATCATTACATATCTGTAATTAATTTATTATCTATATAAACATGATAATTATAATCTGTTTGTTAAATATAATTAATTGGATTAATATCATTAACAATTTTTTATGTAACAGGCTGGTGTGTTAGTACATCAAGCTACTAAGACGGTGTCGGCAGTGAAGATTGTACAATTTGATATATTTGAGGTGAGATACATATTTATATACATATAAAGATTATATTATTTTCTCTTTAATTAATAATAATACACATTAATCTTTAAAATCGCATAAATAAAACAATATACGTCTGTCAAAGAATCGATATTAAGATTTCAATAAATTATTATTTATCTACGAAAATTGAAATAAGAAATTTATAAATATATTGGTTTCCATTCAAAATGTAATTTTTATTAGGGGCCGTATTTGAATAAATCAATTTGTCTTGATAATGATCTATTTACATAAAATTTACAAAGTCGATAGTAGGACTTAAAGATGGTCTCAAAAATAAGAAGTGGTTGGGTTCTTATATTGAATGTAGTAGGGAAAGTCCAATTTAAATTAATTTACTTCCCAAAAACTTATGCAAAAAGAAGTACAGGCTGTATAAATAGGTAGCGTTAATAACGTATAATTCTTATGACTTTTCTTATTGTAATGAGATCTAAGACTTTCGCGAGTAATTACATATTTAAATAAAACTAATATTTTCGGATGTACCTACTACTCGTTTTTTTATTATTTTAGCTACATACGATGTTTCGGTTACTTTGCAGCAACCGTGATCACGGGCAGACGAGATAAATGAATCTGTTTTTGATTAGATTAGGAGTTAAAACATTAAACAAAGGCGTAGTTAATCTGAAAACATTAGTTCTATTTTCCTTATTGTATTTGTGGTTTTCCGCATATATGTACAGGCATAATAAAGGCAGAATTATTTGGTTTTCATTGCTGTCTGTTTGCTAAAACAGTTGGAAACTATTCGCTCACCATCAAAGATAGAATCGCTATAGACGTCGCTTAACCCTTTTAGTCCTAAATTTTTGATAGTCATAGCTGGTTTTATGTATTTTATGTGAAAATATCCTTATCAATTTGGATTTTTAGTAAAAGTATACTTTACATTTTTTAGCTATACAGACTGTACTGGCGGAAAAACTTTCATCTACAAAAAAATAGGCCCAAAACTTTAGCAAAAAATCTAGTTGCTAACTTAACTGATGTTTTCCAGACTGAATATCCCCCTTATCCTCATTTGGGATTGGAGAAAGGAGGCCAGACTATTTACGAGACGAAGAAAGCTTGGCTGGAATTGCTGAAGCGACTTATCATGATGATGCAGCTGAGAGCCAGTTTCCTCATGGTGGAAATAGCGCACAAAAATGCCAATAAGTGAGTACCGTAGACTTTCAGGAGACTTGGTGTGAAAATGCATATGCTTTTTGTGGAACATTAGGTTATTTCACCATTTTTTTGACCTAATTTAAAGTGAATAATCTTTGATGTAATTTTTGGACAAAACATTGATTTTACTTTCTTTTTATATGTATTTTTTTAATGTCCAAATTGCAGAAAGTGTTGTTGTATTTTTACACCAAGACTTTTTGTTGTGAATCTAAAGTTTATGAAGGAAAAATATGATAGAATATATCGACGGTGTAGGGTCAACCTTATTCAAACACGTAATTATATTTTAATAGACTACAAAAATAATAATTTACAATAATTTGTATTAATTAATAAAAAGAAAAAGCTTCTGGAATGTAAATTAATGTTACATTAATCTGTCAACTGTAAATGTCACTTAAAATTTACGTGTATATTAAATAAAATTTTAATGCATTTTGACGACTGTTAAATTAAAAAAATGCGATTGTCCTCATTTTAATTACTTATATTAGTTAATCCGAATATAATAATCGATTCATTTTGTTGAATTATCGATTTTTTTTTATTTAAAAGAGACCCAAAACGCCGTCGATATATTAAAATAATAAATTGAAACAGAATATTTTTCAGTATATATCGATTTTAGGTTACTGTAGTCACTTGCTTGTTTTAAATAATCATCGTGACAGTTAAAGATTTTATGAAAAGACAGATAAAGATTAATTACACAGACAATAAAGAAATTGTTTTGTTTTATAAAGCTCGGTACACACTTTATGCTTTTTTTTTAATCGTTAAAATATTCCTGTACTATGTTTTAGGCGTGGGTTACACGTTGTATTTCTCTTTATTGTCTGTGCCTTTAGTTTGTAGCTAGACAAGCCCTGAAGGGTTAAGCTGCCGATAATCTCACCCTTCCGTCTCCTAAGGACTGGACGGCGTACCATGTAAAACATTATGGAACGCATATAACAAAATGGCGGCTCTATTTTTTTTCATACGTGTAAAATAACTTTGATTTTATTGGATCTGTGTCGACTGTGTATGTATTCTTATGAGTATGAAACGAATGGAATATTTTTTATTGATTTATTGTTTTATAATTAAACAATAACTGGAAATGTAATATGGCGGATCTCAGGTTGAAATAAGTCTTATTTTCTGTCTTCACATATCATAGACAAAGTTCTGTTAATATTATACGATATGACCTACCTTTGAAATAATTTGTAATATGTATCGTTTATTTTTATATGTATATTATATCAATTGTATGAAGAAACAATGATAAATAATATTTGTGAAGAAAATTCGATCTTGGGAATGTCGTACAGTCCTTACGTGGAAGAGAATGGTAGAGAATTGTAGTGTAAAAGAATAAAAACGAAATAATTTTCGGCAGGAAAATGAACGTTTTGGGAAAAGTTGTGATACCGAGAACAAATGTAACGATGGAATATATAAATAACGAGCTGGAGGAATACGCGAGAGAGGAGTTTTTTAGATTAAAAAAAGTATTGGAAATTAAAAGGAAAATGTACGGAGATAAGGATGGGAAGAAAGAAAAACCGAAGGACCCTGGGGATTTATCGTTGTGTCCAGGTTGTCTAAGTGACGAGGATGAAACAAAAGAACTAGAGATAAAAACACCCGAGGAGGAAGTACCGACCTACAACGATATGATGCAAGAGAGCCAACTCAACGAACTTATAAAACAAATAAGCGAAGTAGTCGATACCACTAAAGATATGGATAAAAAGGGACTAGTAACAGCCAGTGTTGAGGATTTTATAAAGACAGCAGAGGAATTGAAAGCGAAGTTGGCACAAAAATCGGAATTAGACGAGAAAGAGAATGCGAAAAATGTAGAGGATGAACTGGAGAAGGTAGAAAGAGAATTAGAAGATATGGATGAAAATCCTAGCATAGATCCGCAACTTGAAGAGGATATGGATGAAAATAAAATATGCGACAAGTGCAAAAACAAATGTATAATGAAAGATAAAGGCAAAGATAAAGATATACAATCTGTTGTGTTTGAAGATGACGATTCAATAAAGTCTACAGCACCAAGGACCGCGACGGACTCTAAGTCAATGTCGGGTGTATCTGATGAAACTGTCCAACTAAAACAATCATTAAGCCAAGAGGACTTTCCTGATGATTCTGATTCTGATTTGGGGGCATTCGAGAGAGAAGTAAAAGAAATAACAACAATAACTAGAACGAGAAACGACGATGGATCTGTTAGTGTGCAAAAGAAGATCATAAAAATTGAAAGGCAATTTAGACCCGTGCGGAACCAGGGTTCCCAAGGTACTAGCCGATATGATTCTGGTAATCCATCAAGAAATGCGTCCAATCAGCCATCGACTACTTCATCCAGGAAATCAAATCCGTATTCGGGTTCAAAAACTGTTGGTTCCATAAAAGTTCCAATACCTTCGTATAAATCTATATTCATACCAAATCAAATTGTAAGGAAGTCTAAATCTGAACCATTCAATCATTATGCACCGATGTCTGATCCTATAGAAAGACAGTGTCTATCATCGGGAACGCTGCTTTCAGCAGATGTAGATTTTAATATTAATCCAATAAGAAGTAATAATTCTGTATTCGGAGAAATTAGACCAAATCACAGGAATGGATTTTGCAATCAAAGTCATGTAATAAAAATTGAGAGCTACCAACAGAAGAAGAATTTTGATAACAAAGATTTATCAGATTTGGAAGATAATAAAATGTTGTTTCCACCTGATAACTTGTTTAGTGATACCGACAATAGTAATTCAATTACCGATGCGATAATTAATCCAAAATGTAACGAAAGACTAGGTGTGAGCGTATCTTTTAGCATAACATCATCTTTCTCCTCCGCTTTATCTTGTTGTTCAGTTATATTACATGAAAACTACAAAAATAAAAAGAAGGAACAGTAAAAAAATGTTAAATGTCTATGGAATTTTAATTTTATTGATAGTCATAGAATTGAAGGAATTGTGTTAACGGTTTCTTAAACTATTGTTACTAAAAATATCCTAGGATGATTTGTCTACAGTAAAATTATTAAAAGAATTACAAAGCACAGAAGTAATAAAATCTGGTTAGGTAGGGGCTTATGAATGCCATATTATGCAGCCAAGGGAGGGAACAGACTATAGATTAAGATCTAAGCATAAAACACTTGAGACAATGTCAAATTTATGACAAATTTTGCGAAGTCGAATAGCATCAGCAAAGTCAGTCCGCACAAAAAGGTTCGAGAAATAACGGCAAACTAGTAAAAATATTGAGCAAATTACAGTTACTAGCCTGGCAGATGAGAAAAATATGACACGGAATTATTTCTAACTAGAAATAAATTCTAGGCAATAGGAGAAATAGTTTTATAGGTCTCACATAAATACAGACTACAGTTGATATGTGTGAAGTTGGTACTATTAAATTAAAACAGATTTTCTTTGGTGATTTTGTCAAAATTAGGACATGTAACGTCTTGCTCCAAAATAACGTTAGAATCTAGCATGGATAGTTTTTAACATCTAAAGGCATAGATTAAAACCTAAAATACAAATATATCTATAGAATACAATAAAAAGACATGTTTCCTAGTGCTAACACTTTTTTTTTATATTTTTGAACATACATGTAATAATGTTTAGGTAAGTGGGACATATAATGCTTATATGACTTATATAACTTTATATTATATGTTAGGAGAGTAATTATAAGAAGTAAGAAAACAACAACTTATTATTGTTATAAAGAATGCAGGATATTATTCCAAAGAGAATAGTTCTGTGCAAAATTTATAGAAAAAGATAAATCTTGTCGGTTGCCAAAGTTATACGAAGAGGTACATAGAGACGCCTCTCAAAATACTGAAAACAAATTGATTATTTTAACAAATTACTTATTTTAAACAGAATTTTTCAACAGAAATTTGATTTGAAGTTATGAATGACATGTATTGCTTAAGGAACCGTTAGCATAAACCTCAGTGTAGTTGAAACTAATGCTTTTTCCTTAACTTAATTGTACACTTATTTATCATTAAAAAACTTAATTTTAAGTCGATATCAAACTTTATTATATTAAAAATACCAGATCGAAAGACTTTCCTTCCTATTAAGTCAAACTATACTCTCTTATCGTATCTTCTTTGTTGATCTTCTTATAAATTTTGACAACAATTAATTAACTAACCAAAATGGAAAGCGAAAGGGTGGTTATCAGCAGCTCCCGACAAAACGTGAACAAAATATTAAGTCAAGATTTTATATCCGCAGGAAATGGAATGTCCTGGGGAAAGTGGTAGTACCAAGAATCAAATTAACGAGTGCTTATATAAATTCAGAGCTAGAGGAAATTGAAAGGGAGGACAACTTTAGATTGAAAAGATTCAAAGAATTAAAAATTAAAAAACAAAGAGAAGCTGATGGACCAGCGGTAAAACCACAACCGAAAGAATCGACAACGAATATAGATGAAAATGAGGATACCTCTTATAAATCAGAAAAACTTTCTGCGTGTGATCTAAGTTCTGTCTGTGTATGTCCACCTATTACAGATGGAGGCGATGAATTGGTATCCATGAAGATAATCGACTTTATAGACCAAAGAGACTTCAGCTTAGACTCTTTTAGAGCATTCAAAAATAAAACTGAGAGTAGAACTGGTAGTATATTAAAATTATTCCAAAACGAGAGTAGAAACTCAAAAATAACAACAATAAGGGAACTTAAAGACTTTAAAGAGGAAGGTTTAAACGATTCAGATTCAATACCTTGTGTATGTCAATCTCAACATAGAATGAGTAGTATAATTACGAACGAAGAGGTATGCTGTAGAAGAGTAAGTGAATCACAAAGTGTATTGTGGAGACAAGCGTCGGGAGCCATCCCATGTGTTTGTCAAGCTAAAGCAATTGAATTTATCGACCAAAGAGAAGCAGAAAAGGATGGCAGCTACATTGAACCGCTATTTTCAACTCCAGATTCCAGAAGCGTTTGTTGTAAGACTAAAACACCGTCAATTGAATTTATAGATCAAAGAGATTCCCGTTTTGGAAGCTTTTCGAATTCAAGTAACGCAGGCTCTAAAAAGGACGGCAGAACAACTAATTATTTCATTTACTGTTCCATTTCCATTGTAAGAGGAGGAAAAAAAATTATGCAACAAGCAAAACCAACTTGTTGTAACAAATCACAACAAATTGAATTTATAGATCAAAGGGAGTTAAATAGTCAAATGAGAGTTAATTCCGACCCAAAATCCAACTGTTGTAATAAAACACAACAAATTGAATTTATAGACCAAAGAGAGGGTAAAAGTGAAATAAAATCTATTCCTGATTCAAAAGCTAATTGTTGTAATATTAAGAAACAAAGAGAACAAATTGAATTTATAGACCAAAGAGAGACAAACGGTGAAATGAGAGTTAGTTCCGACCCAAAAGCCACCTGTTGTAATAAAACACAACAAATTGAATTTATAGACCAAAGAGAGGGAAAAAGTGAAATAAAGACTATTCCTGACTCAAAAGCCGATTGTTGTAATATTAAGAAACAAAGAGACCAAATTGAATTTATAGACCAAAGAGAGTTAAACAGTGAAATTAAATTTATTCCTGACTCAAAAGCGAATTCTTGTAATACTAAGAAACAAAGAGAACAAATTGAATTTATAGACCAAAGAGAGTTAAATAGTCAAATGAAGTTTGCTCCTGACGCAAAAGTTGGTTATGGTAAATCACAACAGATTGAATTTATCGACCAAAGACAGATAGATGATGGAACGAAATTTATTCCTGACTCCAAACTGGAGTATGGTAAATCAAAAGAAATTGAAATTATTGATCAAAGAGAGCTAGATACTGGAATGAAGTTTATTCCTGAATCAAAAGAGAAATCTCATAAAACACAACAAATTGATTTCATAGACCAAAGAGAGATAGATAATGGCTTGAAAATTATTCCCTACTCAATAGTAGATGATCGTAAACCACAAAAAATTGAATTTATAGATCAAAGAGAGATAAATGATATGAAATTTAATTCCGACTCGAAAACCAACTCTAATAAAACACAACAAATTGAATTTATAGACCAAAGAATGAGAAATAATGAAGTTTATGTTGTAAATGACTTAAAAACTTCCTGCTGCAAATCTAGCGCACCATCAATTGAATTTATAGATCAAAGGGATGAAGGAAGAGCAGCTAATTTGAATACACAAAAGCCATGCGGCGGTGAAACAAGAAATGAAAATAATATGAAAGAAGAGAAGATTGATTCAAGAACTTCTTGTTGTAAATCTAAATCACAATCAATTGAATTTGTAGATCAAAGAGAAATAGAGAAAAATGGTAATTCAAATGCAAATAACGCTGACTGTAACGAAAGAAACAATGAAATGAATTCAAAAACATCTTGTTGTAAATCCAAATCGCAATCAAGAGAATGTACGGACAAAGAAAATAGAAGAAACGAAGGTAATTCAAACGAAAATAATGTATGTTGTAAAGAAGAATGTCAAATTAATACGAAGGATATGAATTTAAAAGATAAAATTAAATTTAAATCCAACTCAAAAACGGCCTATTGCAAATCTAAATCTTTAGATTTCATAGAGGAAAGAAAATTATTAAAAAAAGATTCAAGTGATTTCAAAAATCGCGAGACAGGAACTTATATGTCCTTGTTAAAAAATAACAAAGATATTTGTTCGTCTTGTAAATCGAGTAGTTCGCAGTATGCTGGAAATAGTTCAAATGTAACACCATCTTTAGACATTAATACAGATTTTAGTGGTTCAGTTTTTCAAAATCCAGAATCATATATAGAAAGTGCTACCCAAAGTATTTGCAGTCACTGTTCAGTCGCAAACAAAAAATTACCAAGCGATGATGCACTTAAGTCTCTATCTTCTGGTAATAATTGTACTAACATACGTGAAAAACAATTACAGGATAAAAAAGGCAGTTCAAAACATATTGGTAAGGGACGTAAGGCAAAAAGTGAAAATAGTGATACAGGATTTAAACAAATTGTAAAAGAAGTAAAAGAAACGAAAATAACCTGTAAGAATGGCAGCATCAAAACTGAACAGCGGAGTAAAATAATAACAAATGAGAAAAACAACTTACCATGCAGTAAATGTCATTCAGAAAGCCTGGTTTACAAAAAACCAAGGAATGCATCATTACAGAAATCAATAAAATCACTTAAATCAATAAATCTAAGTAAATTTAAAATTTTTACATCCTGTTTTGTTCCCAAAGGAAAATCTCAATCTTCTTGTAGTGGGGTTTCTCAATGTTCAGAGGTAGATAAAAATTGTTCAGAAGTTTTAAACAAAAGTAATCCGTCCACCTCTGAATGCTCTGTCGCTTCCGTCAATTATAGCAGTAGTGATAAAACGACCACTTGTTATATGTGTACAGGAACACAAACTAACGATCAGGCGAAAAAGGTTCAAACCTGTCCAAGTTTAAGTTGCGGGAGACCATCGAAAGCAAATTCCAAATCTAGTATCAATATTAGAATAATTGCTAAGAGTGGTAACGTAACACCGAAGGAGGGCACAAATGACATTGAACTCACACCCAGTGACTTCAACATACTCAAGAGAATACTTATACGGGCGAGCAAGTCTTCAGCATGTATTTCGAAATCAAAAAAGTCGAAATCTAGTTCTAAGAGCAGTTGCAGTTCTAGTTTAAGTGGCAAATCCTCAAGTTCACCAAAAAGGAAACTATCTCCTTGCCGTAATGACAAGTGTACACGAAAAGAACCAAAGAAACACAATTGCCAACTGGAGAATAAAGTACCTTCTGCACAGAGTAGCAAGTCAACGGTGACCTCAAAGTGCACTTGTTCCTCTGCATGGAAAGTTAAATCATCCGCTTCAATAGAAAGAGAACCCCCTCCCTGCCACCAAGACATGGTAAAAAGTACCCCAGATCAAACAAAAAAATGCAATTATTTTAATAGAAAAGTGAAAAGCGAAACAGTTCAGTTTGGTCCACCGTGTTGTAGTGTCCGGAATTCTGAGAAAAGCGTGTCCACTGCATCTATAGTTGATTCATGCACTAAGCTACTATCTAAAATTGTTAAAAAACATTCATGCGTATCAAATGCCAAAACGAAATCGTCGTCTGCAATAAAAGTTGATGGTAAAATTTGCACTTGTAATAACAAAAAGGGCATTGATGCAAAGGAATGTGTATGTAGCAAATCTAAAAACATGATACAGAAGACATGTTCGTGTAGTAAAACGAAAGAAAAAGACAAATGCTCATGTAACATTATCGAGACTAAGAAAAGTAAATGTACCTGTTCAACACCAAAACAATGTACATGTAAAAAATCACCGAAACGATTTCCAAGCGATTGTGATAGAAAGTCAAACAGGCCAACGGAATACTTGGACAAGCTTGAAACGAAATACTTCAGCAAGAACTGCTGCAAATCAGGAACCCCGAGTGATGTTTTTTCATCCGGTAGCAATGATTCCAAAACAAATAACGTCGCCACACAGAAATGTTCAAAGCATTCCTGTAACTCAGTTTGCTCGCAGGATAAATTTGTCGTTGAAGTACCTTCGCAGTGCTCGTTCTGTGGAGTGAAGGAAGCTTCGACTATGACAAGGAGATCTGATAGGTATGATGTTAGGCCGCTGAGATTACTAGCCAGAAGGAAGCAGTACTTCTGCTGTCAATCCGATACAGGTTTACTTTCGCGTGCTAAAGCCTTAAAAATTAAAATAACAAGATGTCGTTCAGCGGATGATAGGAGACGTTATTGCAATTAAATAGTCTTTCGATCTGCTATAATATATAATTCCATCTTATTTTAATGCATCTATCCAAATATTATGTATTACAAACTTTGAAAACATTTGATTAAACAAACTTTACAGAAATGATTATTAAATAAAACTTTTAAGTCCACATCTTCTTTTATTTTGAGTTTTATATTGCGTAGTTGTAGTTACACTGAGATCCTCCATATTAAATTAATTCTATTAATATTTTAAATTAATCTAATTAAATGTGAAGACAGATTTCAATAATTATTCAATTATGTTTGATTAATAATTAATACATAAGATGACAATAGGCTGTTCCTTCATCGCTAAAGACGTTGTTATAAGAAAGCATCTGTCTGAAGTGATATACAATGATTTCTTGATCTGTTGCAATGGTAGTATAAAATCGTATACTTTATGTGTTGTATTCTAAACAATGATCCTATCACTAGCTTAACAAAATCACAGCAATTACATCAAAACGAGTCCAGCATTTGTTTTCATATACGTAGAATAAGGAAATATAAAAGCGATTTAGAAAAACAACTGAAATACTTTAAAAAATGTTATTTCAATCTATTGGTCGAAGTTTAAAAAGTTATATGTATAAAATAACTTTTTAAACCCAGCTTCGCAGGGGTATTTATAGTTTTTAAATATAATAAAATTACAAATATTATGTATACAACATTATTGACGTGATCATGTGAAAAGGTGAGTTATAACGTGGATTTAATATTGAAAATTTTTAAACTGATAACTCTCAAATGGTACGTCCGAATTAAATAATTCAAAAATTAATTTATAGATACTGATGTAGGCTTGAATACAAAGGAATTTATTTTGATAAGACTTAATACTGTATTTATGAAAATAGCTCTTGTTGAAATATTTATGAAAATGGATATAGTATGTTATCCTTAAGAGATAGATATATACCATCGCGGACTTTTCTGGAGACCTATATTAAATACACAATTCCACAATACATTGCTTTGTTATATCTCAAAGGGTTTTGGCAGCGTTATCGTTAAAAGATCCCAGGCAGCTAATTCTTCACGACATCTTCAACAAAAATCGTTAATGTACACACAAATCAATACAAAACCTTAACAAATTATATATTAAAACCTTTCTCGAGAATCACGCTATCGAATGGTGAAAACCGCTTGATTATTGGTGCAGTAGTTTTTCTGTTTATTGCGAACAGACAGACGCAGAGGGGGAGTTTGTTTTGTTAATGTATTGATAAAAAAAAGCTACATTTTTCCTACTTATATAACACTTTATAATTTTCTACGGGTATAAGTACTATAAATATATAAGATATAAAAATCTATTTATATATACATATAATTAATGTATACGGTTATAGAATAATATATGGGAGACATTTGTTATAAATTAGAATGACTATTAGCTTTGTTTTGTTTCAACTAGGGCACAAATGTGTATTGTTTTTAAACTCTTAGCGCCTCGTTTAAGCCGGTTACACACTTTTTACATTAATAGTTACAAAATGTATTAAAAAAGGATCAATAGAAAACTAAATAGGAAGTGAAAATCGTGTGATTAATAAAAAATCTTGTGTTGTTGATAATTGTGGGAGTTTTAATTTAATTTGTTTAGTGATAATTATTATGGAGATATTTTAAAAAATGTGAGATTTTTTTAAGGGTACCATTTTCACGAAAGTTACTTTTTATTTCTATATCTTACGTAAGAACTAGTTAAAAGTATATTTTTCAATGAAACTTGTATTATTTTACGTCTAACATGGAAGTTGGTTTAAATTTAAATGATTTATAAGCATGTTTTATGAATAAAGTAAATAAATAAAGCAGTAAAACTTGAAAGTTTATTGTGTTGATCATTAATTAGAAAATGATGGTGTAAATTTAATCAACTGTGAAAGTGCATATTAATATAATATACGGTAATTATGATTGGACGGATCGTATCTCTGGTAATAAATGGTAATCTTGCTGCTTGACTTATTACCCGGTTGGAGGTGAAGTGGGGGGGCGTAACGACGATCTTATCTATGATAGTAATAGTTGAAGAATAAAACTGTTGATGAATTTTAATATATTAAATTGTGTCTTAAATCAACATTAAATTTCTATGGAATTTTCATTAATTTGTTTATTGTATTAATAAAATATTTGTTTTATATTTAACTTGGAATTTGTATGTATAAACGTAAGTCAGACTTAACACGTATAATCTTCAGTCTCTATAAATATATATAGAATTATATATCATGTTATTTTAGTAATTATATTTATGTAAAAGATGATGAACAGTTTAATGCCAAAAAGTAAAAAAAATACATAATACTAGCCATTACTTTAAATGTAATTTAATCACTTTAAGCGGAAATAATCTAGCATAAATTTGAAGGGAATAATTGCAACAAGTTAGTTTATTTGCTACGTTATTTTAACCGACTTAAAATAAGGAAGTTATTGTTTCAAACAGTTTTTGTGTTGGATATACATAATTAAGTTTTTTTCGTATTGAAAAGAATGTACTGAATAGATGGTGACTTGAAACTTTTGACTCGTCTCAAAGTATAATATTAAAAGATCATTATATATTTTACTTTGTTTTTTAATTCATCTACATGAAGTTGTATAGTATTAATTTTGATTTATTTTATTCGTATCCATTGTAAATATTATGTAAAACATGTGTTACATGTGAAAAGGCAGACCCACTATCAGATTGGAATAATATATGCCACGGAGAGAGAGAGAGCATTACGTGCGTAAAAATCCGTTCCGTTTTATATGTAGCCCCCGCCTTAAACCCAAATGTCCATCGTCTAGACGCAGTCTGATAATAAACGTGGCTAAATAATTAGCGTCACTGGAATACCTTGGATACGAATAGCAGTAATTAGATTAGTGAAAAAAGATTGATCTCGTCTTGTTGCTATGCGTACAGTAGTACAGGGTTGGCAATGATTTTATATTGTGACTAGAAGACCCGGCGAACTTCGTATCGCCCTATAATCAAGAAATATCTATTACGTTTTTTTATTTATATTTTTGGAGTTTACCTGTAAGCCATAAATCTCCGTGTTTTGAAGTGCTACAGAATGATTGGCATATTAGTTAGTTGTCAGATCTAATGTCAAAAAAAAAACGTTTGTATCAACAAAATAATTACTAATAAATTAAAAATTAATTAAAAAAACTCTCTGTCTAAATAGTCTTAGAAAGTACATATGACTTGGAAAAATCACATTGGTACTTTCCCGGGTCAGGATCGAACCCGCGCCCTCGTGCATGAGAGCGGGCCTTTTGACCACTGGGCCACCACTGACTCAAGGGCATACTATATATGCATTGTCTTGTTTTATAGCAATTTAACTTAATTAATTTAATTGAATACTATTCAGTTGACAACCTAATAGTTGGGTTACTACTTGGCATCGGTCGAGTTGTACACAGACGACACTTTGAACTCACTTATATATAGATGTGGGTTACATTACTGAGTATAGTTTTATTTCTTTAAATATATTTCACACGCGATGCTAGCCGTTTGAATACACAAATAGTTTGTAAATTATATTAAAATTGAAAGCGGAAATGTTTTATTTTGATGTTATATCCGCTGTCAGTAGCATAGTATTGTTTTGATCATATATTAACCGAAGTTTGACTAAATATTTGATATTAGTTCATGGAAATAAAATTAATTTATTTTATTAAATTTAAATCATGATTAAGTGACGATTATTTGTTTTTATTTAGAATGTTAATTTAAGTATATAAATCCGGAATAAACTCATTATGGTACATTTATAAGAGATACATTTTAAGTTAAAATAATCACAGGAATCTTAAAACTTTTAATATATAATACGTTTTAAATGATTTTTCATATAATCAAAGTTAATATTGAAGGTTTTTTTATAAATAATGATTTTCTATAATCATTATAGTATATATATAATACAGATATATAATTTTCTGTGTGATTTTGTGTTTTATCTGTCACATTTCACTATACTGCGTCCAGACGCCATAAGCGGTAAGCTCTCATTACTTTTGACCTGATTTCATACACTATGCTTATATATGCAAATCGTTCTAGGTTTTGTTGCGAAATTTCAATATAACCTTTCGTGTTGTAAAGTTACGCTGATTACAAGAAAATCGATGTGTTTCTTATGAAGTATAGAAGTATTTTGTTGTATTTTTACTTTTTATTTATATATTTAAAGCAATGAATATACTATGTTAAAATGGTGAAAGAATTTTTGATTTTTTTTAAACTATACAATATATTATATATAGTAACTAATGACAAGTTAATTTTTTTATTCCAAAAGAAACTCGGCGAAGACTTTTGTCATTCAGCCAATGTGTGTATAAAACCTTTTTAAATATAATCTATTATTACAATAAAATTACTTAGAATTTATAGATTAAAATTATTCTATATATTATTGCTACATTTACATTTTGTTATGTGTGCATAAAGTTCAATATACAAGGTGTGACTAATAATCTGATGCAAGAACTAACCCTGACCCGCCTATGTTCTAAGTCAACGAATCTATTAACAACTAAGTAGTGTTCCGACTTGGCACTATATGGAATGAAAGAAGTTTGTATTTGTTTTCATATATAACCTTTTTTTGAAAATGGAACTTGGATGTTTATTTTTTTTAAATGTGAAAGAAGGTTGATTTTTTTAAATGATTCTTTTTTTAAATTTATTTGAATGAGTTTTTATATCTTTGCTTATTTTAATTATATTTCATATAGGTTACCTAATGTACTAGTTTTCGTAGCTACATTCGTTGCCGGCCAATAGTTATCTGTTTAGACAACAATCTCATTGTAGGCTTGATTATTGCAATGACCGTTAAGGGGAAGTCGATTTTATATATTTTAAAAATTATTCTACATTTATACAGGGTGACTGGTGAATTACTATCAATATTTAAGGAGGATACTCGGTACATGATTCTCATTCGAATTATG